AGAGAGAGAGAGAGAGAGAGAGAGAGAGAGAGAGAGAGAGAGAGAGAGAGAGAGAGAGAGAGAGAGAGAGAGAGAGAGAGGCGGGGGGGGGGAGGGGGTTGAAGAGGAGGAAAGAAAATAGAAAGAAGAAAGCAAACTGCAAAAGAAATAAAGCAATATCCACGAACCTCTGGAGAGTGAAAGGCGAGAGACATAAGAGAGGGAATATGGGGTCCCATTATTTTTTTCTGGCGCTTTCTTACAATTTATTGTTTCTATATTTTCTCTCGAGGCAAGCGATACTGTGACCCAACACACATTCCAACGCACCCCCCCCCCCATTCCTGTTTGTTTGTCTGTCTTGAGTCCTCTCCTTTTGTCTTTTCTCTACCCTTCAGTTTCCGTTGATCATTCTCTCTCTCTCTCTCTCTCTCTCTCTCTCTCTCTCTCTCTCTCTCTCTCTCTCTCTCTCTCTCTCTCTCTGCGCCGACCACACAAACACACAGACGCACTTCCTATAATCTCTCTTTTACCAAATCATTCTCCGACGTTCCCTTCCCCTCTCCCGTTCCCTTTCATTTTGTCTCTTTTCCTTTTACATTTCCCCCCCTCCCCTTTTTTTCTCTTTCCCTAATTCCTCCCTTTTAACCCTTACCTCCTCTTTCTCTATTCCTCTCCTCCGTCTCCTTCTCCCAGACTAATTGGACAAATCCTAAGCAAAGACAATGTTGGGAGGGAGAGGGATATAACAAGCCCCTTGCGACTCCCCTCTCTCTCGTCCACGCACACGGATAAAGACGTACTCACATGGCATAAATACTTACGTACATAGAGGCAAAGAGGTCAGACAGACAGGCATACAAACATGAACCGTGATCATCATTTGGAATAAATATTAGAAGGAAAATACGCACTTAAAGAACGAACAACATCAAACACACACGGACACGCAGAGAAAAAAAAAGTAAATACAAGGTTCCCTCTGCCTCCCTCCACCACCCTCCTCCTTTCGCCCTCCACTCATCTCGCAACCCCTCCACACGCATACATGGAAATACAAACCACCACATATATACCTCATTCCCACTCACCCCCCCCACCCCCCCCCCATCCACCCATCGCCCATCCGCGCACCCACTAACCCACACAAACTTGCCCTCCCGTTAGTGTTTTCCCTTGTCAACTAATCTCTCTTATCTCTCATTGGGGATATCCTTGCCCCGGAGCGAGCAGGGCCTTCAAAACGCCTCGCATTCCAATCAGCTGAGGGCGACGGGACCCGCGTCAAGGAGGCCATTGTGCGCGGCGAGGGGAGGAGACTGAGGGTGGGAGTGGAGGGGGGGGGGGAGAGGAGAGAGGGAGAGGAGACTGAGGGTGGAGGGGGAAAGGGGGAGAAGGGGAATTGAGTGTGAGTAAGTGAATGTGGGGAGGAAGGGAGGGAGGGAGTATATGTAAGGAGGGAGGGACGGAGGGCGTATATGTAGGGAGGGAGGGAGGAAGGGGAGGGAAGGAGAAAGGGGAGGGAAGGAGAAAGGGGAGGGAACGAGTAGGGAGAGGGAGAGGGAGAGAGAGAGAGGGAGAGGGAGGGAGGGAGAGAGAGAGGGAGGGAGAGAGAGAGGGAGAGAGGGAGAGAGAGAGAGAGAGGAGAGAGAGAGAGAGAGAGAGAGAGAGAGAGAGAGAGAGAGAGAGAGAGAGAGAGAGAGAGAGAGAGAGAGAGAGAGAGAGAGAGAGAGAGAGAGAGAGAGAGAGAGAGAGAGAGAGAGAGAGAGAGAGAGAGAGAGAGAGAGAGAAAGAGAGAGAGAGAAAGAGAGAGAGAGAAAGAGAGAGAGAGAGAGAAGAGAGAGAGAGAGAGAGAGAGAGAGAGAGAGGAGAGAGAGAGAGAGAGAGAGAGAGAGAGAGAGAGAGAGAGAGAGAGAGAGAGAGAGAGAGAGAGAGAGAGAGAGAGAGAGAGAGAGGGAGACAGAGAGAGAGAGAGTTAAGTTAGTTAAGTAAGTTTATTTACCGTGATTACAGTTTTACATATTTGTTATAGTACAGTATTCTGTGACTACTGTAACTGTACAAGGTAAAATGATACAAATCATACAAAAAAAATATGTTCATATGCTTTTGCCACTGTGTTTACATAACGCCGTTCTTTGTTTACGGCACTTTTACAAAGTAAATTTTGGAGATAGTACGAGTATAAATAATAAAAAATAAATAAAACTTGGCGCACGAGGACCGCAGAGTTTTGCCACGATGCGTACAGTCCGAAGCGTATGCTAGGCTAAACAGCAACAACAGGAAAAGGGAAAAATAATCCCAAAGAGCCTGCAGAAAATAGGGGTAAATCACAGAAGGACGCCATCAGTGCAAAAGACAAACCTACCCAAGAGAAACGAGAAAGAAAGAGCTCGAACCCCTCGGCGCAGACAGCTGCATGGTACAAGACAAGACATGCGAGGCCAAGAGCACATTCAGAACAAGCGTGTGAAGTGGACAGCAGACGAGGTGCAGACAGGAAGGGGCGGGGAGGGGAGAGGTGGGGCGGGGCGGGGCGTGGAGGGGAAAAGAGGGGCGGGGAGGGGAGAGGAGGGGAGAGGAGGGGAGAGGAGGGGCGTGGAGGGGAAGGAGGGGTAAGGAGGGGCGAGGAGGAGCAGCCACAACAATAAACAAAGGGAGTGGGCGGGGCACCGAGTCCCCACCTGCCTCCCCGTTCGGCAAATCATCACGCAAACGTTCTATTTATACGCGGCTCTTTTGGTGGCTCGATCGTCTCCCTCGCGCCGTGGCTCATCACCCTGTCCAGGCCTGGTTTCTTGGGCTCCTCCCAAGGTTCCCTCTGGCTCCCTCTGGTTCCCTCTGGGTCCCTCTGGCTCCCTCTGGTTCCCTCTGGGTCCCTCTGGCTCCCTCCACCGCCCTCCCTGTCGCCCTCCACTCGTCTCCCAACCTTCCTTACCCCCCTCCACCTTTTCTTCCCCTCCCCCAACCATGGGACTCCCCCTTCCCTCACCTGACCTCGCGGCCCAGACGTCAGGCGGGCCAAGGTCACTCGCTCCCCCTCCCTCCTAGAATTGCAAATGGGACCCTTGTTATCTCCGCCAGCCATTTGTTTACTTATTATTCCCATTGTCATTCCTTCCTTCCTTCGGCGTCACAGAACTCGCCAATCGTCTTCTTCCTTTTTTATTGACGTCATCACATCAACACAATGCACCTAATTCACCTCCTCTTTATCATCATCTCTCCCTTCTATATTTCCTTCTCATTCCTCGCCCTTCTTCTACAACACTTTTCCTCCACCCCTTCTTGTCTTATATTCTTCTCTTTCTTTTTTTCTTCACCAAATACTACACAAATCTCTCTCCTTTTCTTCCCTACCCTCTTTCTCCCTCTCCCTCTCCCTTTCCTCCCCAACTTTTCTGCTCCCCTCGCTCTTTCTCCGTTTCACTTTCTCATCTTCCAAACTATCCCTCTTCCCCCTCTCCCCCACCTCCGCAACCATTTCCTGCCATTTTCCCTCTGCCATCTTCCATAACTATTTCTCCACATCCCTCCCCTCCCCTATCCCCTCCCCCCCCCTCCCCCCTCCCCCCCTCCTGCCTTGCCGTCTCACGCCCTGCCGCTCCCACGAAACGCGAATTTCAGATCAGTTGAAGCTGTTTGAACCAATCGACTTGAAATTCAATTCCCGAACAGTAGATACTCGAGAAAACGTGTGCATAAATTGGGAGGGATAGGAAGCCAAGCGGACTCCGAGCCGTGACAGCCGTGGAGGGCCCCGTGTCCTAACGCCCCCCCCCCCCCACCCCGCCCATACAATTTCCTATCCCCTTCTCTATTCTCTCCTCTCCTCTCGTCTTCTCCACTTCGCTCCTTGCTCCATTTCCCTCCTCCTTTTCTCTTCTCTTCTCTTCTCTCCCCTTCTCTCCCCTTCTCCCTCTGCCTCTATTCGTCCTCTAGTTGTTTAGTCGCTTCCATTCCTGTTCTTCCCAGATATTATTTTTGTCCATCCTCATCTCTTTCCCTCTCCCTTCACATATCCCTCTTCCTTCATCATCTTTTCCCCATCCGTCTCTTCCTTCCAGCAATCTCCCTTTTCTGACCCTCCCTCCCTCCCTCCCTCCCTCCCTCCCTATTATCCTCCCTTTCCCCCCCACCACCTACCCGGGGTAATTACAGTGATTGACCAATATTTCCAGCCTGAACACAAAAACTGAGAGGGGGGAGGGAGAGACAGAGGGAGGAGGGAGGGAGGGAGGGAAGGAGAGGGAGGGAAGGAGGGAGGGAGGGAGGGAAGGAGGGAGGGAGGGAGGGAGGGAGGGAGGGAAGGAAGGAGGGAGGGAGGGAAGGAGGGAGGGAGGGGGAGAGAGAGAGAGAGAGAGAGACAGAGAGAGAGAGAGAGAGAGAGAGGAGAGAGAGAGAGAGAGAGAGAGATGAGAGACGAGAGATGAGACGAGAGAGAGAGAGAGAGAGAGAGAGAGAGAGAGAGAGAGATGGAGGGGGGAATGAGAGATGGAGAGGGGGGGAATGAGAGATGGAGAGGGGAGGAGAGAGAGATGGAGAGGGGGGAAGAGAGTGAGAGAGAGAGAGAGAGAGAGAGAGAGAGAGAGAGAGAGAGAGAGAGAGAGAGAGAGAGAGAGAGAGAGAGAGAGAGAGAGAGAGAGAGAGAGAGAGAGAGAGAGATGGGGGGGGCAAACTAAAGGGAGAATGAAAATGAAAAGAAAAGAGTAAAAGCGACTTCTCAGGGCACACGGCCGACCCAGCCAGCCAGTCAATCAGTCGAGAGGCAGCGGCAGAGGCTAGCGAGCAATATAAGCAATATCGTTCTTGATAAATACTAATATTAATAATAGCAAGTAATATCGGCAAATGTATATATCCGGCAGCAGCAGCAACAGCTTGGATCGGCCCGCCTGCCGCCCGCGCCTCCCGCACCAGCGCCGCCCATGCCCCCCCACCCCAACCACCACACCACCGCCGCCTCCCGCCCGCCGTTCCTCCTGAAGCGAAAAGACGCCCTGGCTTTATAAACCGTCCTACGTCCGCCCTGTCGCCGCCGCGTCCCCGTCAGCGTGCTCGACGATGCCCGCTTTCGAAATCCAATCCCGCGAGGTCAGACCCTGGCACGAGCAGCGAGTCCTTTGACCGCGGCACTTGTATCCACCTTGGGCATTAGGGCGCAGTCATTCACGCGGCAAGTAATTGTTTTCGAGAAGTACTATCATAGTATAGATCCTGCTTGCCGAGGAAGTTGGATAGGACGCCGACGACTCAAAGGACAGGATGCCGGGATGAAAGGAGGGAGGAAGGAGCGACAGAGAGAAAATACGGGCCGAGGAATAGGCAGGGGGAGGGGGCAGGCGAACTACGGGCGGGGGTGGGCAGGGGGTGGGCTGTATCCGGGAGGAGGGAGGGAGGCCAAGAGAGCGAAGAAGCTCAGCAGGAAAAGAGCGGAGCAGCAGAACAGCAGGGCTAAACGGACCAGCATCTCTACTTCCTTCTGACGGTAACATCTGCCATAGTTAACGCGGTGCGTCGTCCCGCTACAGACACGCGCCTAAAAAACATACATAGACACACACACGCGCGCACGCACGCACACACACATACACACACACACTTGCCTACACACGCACGTACACACACAAACGTCCCTGTTGCCCCGCGTCGTGGATCAATAGGACTAAAAGTTCTTCCTAAAAAAGAATAAAGAAAAATACCCTAACTGCCGGCGTCCTTCTGTATCATCGTCACACATCTACTCTCTTTTCTCTCTACCTTTATTCTCCTTTCATCAAGACTTCTTTCGCCGCCACCAACACCACCATAATCCCCATCATTAACACCATCATCTTCACCTCCACCGCCACCACCACCTCCTCCACCATCATTATACATCACTGTCAACAACGATCTCCACCTCCCCCATTACTCCACCACCTCAACCAAGTGCATCAGCAGAGTATCGTCATCACCTCCAGTTCCACCACCAATCATAACAATTACCTCCACTTTTCCACCATCTTCACCGCCAGCAACAGCCCCCTCACCACCAAAACAACGTCCACCACCTCCTTCACCACATCACCCGTCGCAACCTCCTCCTCCACCACAACCACAACACCAACCTCCCCCAACCTTCCCCACTATTACCATTCCCAACAATCCTCTCCATCTCCACCACCACAACCTCTACCACGGCTCACCAAGACAACCAACCGCCACAACAGTTTCCACCATCTCCTCCTCCATCTTCATCGCCACTAAAACTTCTCCTCCATCTTTATCACCATCTCCGCCACTTCTACCATCTCACCTCCACCTCCATCACCACTTCCATCAGCTCCATCTCCACCTTCATCACCACTTCCACCATCTCCATCTTTATCACCACTTCCACCATCTCCACCTC